ATAAATCAAGAAGTACTTTTAATCCCTAAATTATTGGTTCGCTTTATGGACGACTACTTTGCCTATGGCAACATGGCAAAGAAAATTTGTTTTGCTTACTTCCATTTCGAGTGAAAGTGTTTGGTGAAGATCGATTTCACCAAAAGACGACGGCGGATTCCTCTTGACCAGCTGTCGATTGGTCACGTCGGTTCGTCGAGGATCTATTTGCATAGATCTAGTCACATCTCCAAGGCAATCCCTTTTAAGCTACCGATGAGGCCAATTTACAAATCCCTTCCACTCACGTCTTCAGACGAAATGAAAGGTACTCCGACTTGGCCAATGTTTCTTATTCGCTTTACTCTTCTGCAGATGTCTAGTCTTGATCAGATTTGTAGATAATCTCTCCTATTACATCTTGTTTATTATGAATGTCGTACTAATTATTATTTTCTTGAATTTATCCTTCGGATCCCCTGTTGCGTTCACCATTTTGAATTTTGTATCCTATCGCAAATTATTTAGATTCCTCAAGTTTATTCATGATCAGCAGCGTCATTATCACTGCTTTACCTTACTCCACGATCTTAGTACTTTTTTCAGATGCTCAGATTCAAGAGAAGAACCCTATAATTTTATCATTATTCCGGGATTTGTATCTATCTAATATTTTCAAAGTATGTTCGTCAAACATTACTTTTAATTAATCTTAGATATATAAACCTTTAGTTCAATAATCATGGCGAGCATAACGTATAATACAAGATAGCTTATAGTAGCTTCTGTTTACATCTTATTAACCACATACCGCTTATTTCAGGCTGCACCGTTGCAAGACAGGAATCTGGTTTACTGAACAGTTGAAGCGCGCTCGTCAGGCCGGGAGGATCCGTGCTGTCAGTGGCCCAGAGGCCTTGCGCTCTTCTATCATCCGCATTCAACGTAAGTCAAGCTATTCTTTTCCTATTTTTTTCATCTTTCATTAGTTTGAACTCTATCCTTTTGACTTTTTGTGGGCTGTAACTAATCAGTTGATTGGCTCTCTTTTCTCTGCCTAGTAGGTTGTTTAACCCTGCTCAAAATAATTTTAATCTGATTAGAATTCTTTGCACCCCTCACCCTATCTACCAACAGTGGGCATCGTGCTAACCCACTGAATCCATTCACAGTGATTATAGGTTAGCTTAACTGACCAAATATCCTCACAAGCTTCTAATCTGATTTGCGCTAACTGCATAAGTACAGCTCATAATTCGCTCCTTATTTTTGCTGGCTATTTAGTCTCTCCTAGCCTCTTTTGGTCCGTTTTGGCTCCACGAGTTAAACTCTGGACTTTCCTAGCCAATTTCTTCCCTGTTCAATTCGATCCGCATATTGTTGTTCAGCTATCCATTTATATCTTAAGCAATGTTTCTATCCTATTTCTTTATTATAGGCAATTCTTTATAAAAATTGCCTTAAAAGTGTTTTACTCACTTTCTCACTCAATTTCTGTTACTGAGCCTGTGAATTGTCATCTATCTCTAAACATTTTCAAGCATGTAATTTTGCTACGTATAGGTTGTCCATGACGAGCATTTTCTATTTATTTGTCATAAGGCCTGACATGAGTAATCACACGACTTTAGCCATATCAAAATATTAGCGGATATCTGTCTGTTTCCTTTGATAAACTTATATCTGTCTCTATTGAATTAAATAATACAGTCCCTAACCCGATTAATCAATTTACCAATAAGAACGTCCTATTTCACTTTCAACGGCCGCATCTATGAGCAAATATTTGGTCTGCCTATGGGCTCACCACTCACCTCTGTTGGCTAATGTGTTCATGGGCAAGTTGGAGGAAAATTTCAAAATGTCACCCTAGCAACCAACAGTAATAATGCGATATTTGGATGGCAACTTCGCAATTTGGTCGCATGGAGGAGAAAAATTATACG